AATAGATCAATTAAGGAATGTCACATCATTAGATAATGCATATTTGTATGTGCCACATGTAATCCTTCAATTAAATTTTTACTTTGTTTAGTTTGCTGAAAAAAATATAGTAAAATAAGTAATGTAATAAGAAAAACAACTAAAATATGTTATGAATTTAATAAAGATGCACGCGTGATAAAATTTATATGTAATTAGTTTTTTTTTGATATGATGGATAATTTTAAAAATTATAAGCAACATCTTTTTAATCAATAAATTATATACATAAGTTTTCTAAAATTATAAAATAATCGTGCATATATTTTTAAGATACGTCAAAACAATAAATAGGTTTTAACATAGTCAGAAAGTGAAGAGTTTATAAAAAGTTAATAAAAATAATAGTTTTTTATTGTTGGAAAGTGAAGAGTTTATAAAAAAATAAAAATACGAATTATTTAATACAAAATTAACTCACATGCATGGATGGACGTACATGTGTCATGTGATATACGCGTGGCGGGACACATGTCATTAGTATGCACGTGTGGCATGACACGTGTCGTCACCACAACTTTGAAACCCTCTTTTACATATATATATAGGATGGGAAATTCCAGCTTAAACATCGAACGAAACTTTAGGAAGGGATTCTAGGGAAGAGCTTTGTGATACAGTGATACAGCATACCCACAAATGTTGTTAGACTATTGGGATATGTGTATTGTGTACGACACCCCACTCTTTACCATTTATTTTATTTTGTTTTTATTTTTATTTTTTTTTTTTGAATTTTACTTGCCTTTTTATATGGTTATGGAGGGGGTGGGGATATTTGGGATACACTTTTGGTGTACTCCTAGCATTTTCCTAGACTATTTGGTATTGGGGGCGACCTAGAGGGGTGACCTATCATGACGCCCATTGGGCCTCCTCCACCTTGCCACAACGGGCGGGACCCTCTCGGTATGAGGGGCCCACGTGTTCTGTTCTGTTCCAGCTGTTGAAACGGATATATTATTGTTGATAATTAATTTTTTTATTTTGATTGTTAGAATTTAAAAACATCTATAAATTTTCACATCTTCACTCATCTCTCTCCGCCACTCACTAATTTATTCCTTTACTAAGAAAAAGGTTTGTAACTTTTTAAAGGAAATGAGTTGGAAGAAAATAACTCACAGCTCGTCTTCCGACGATGACAAAGGAACTTCCACGTTCCTCAAATGTGTTCATCCCCATATTTTGCCACATACGTGGGTTCGGTCCTCCAAGACCTGTTAGAGCTCTCTTCAACCCACTCATGGCTAGATCGATCAGTTTCATGACATAACAGAAGAACTCGAATATTCAACTGCAAGTGCAGAAGAAGGCTCGAACGAAGAGAGGAGGAAATGTGTGCGGTTCAATCGAGATCGGACCGAAGCTAGCACTCGTCTTATTCAAGGTTATTTTTCTAAAATTCTAACTTATAGTGACACGCTTTTTTGGCGTCATTTCCAGATGAGCCACAGTTTATTCACTTCCATTGTGAAAGATATAGAAGAGAATTTTATTTTCTTCAAGTAAAGGTCGGACATCACTGGGAGTCTGCGGCAGTCGGTTTCACATATTTACAAAAATGTATGGGTGCGATTTGACATTAAAACTCATTTAATGGTAGTTTAGCATGATTTCCAAGTGTAGGTTTTGATAAATGACAAACAATGAAATCAAGATATTATGATCAACGAACAATGAATAAAAGTATGTGGCGGTGACAAAGAATGTATACTTGAAGTGACGATTGTTCCAAGGATTCAAGACAAGCAAAGAAGTGCTCAAGAGTTCAAGACTGCAGACCCCAAGTCGTACATCATTAGGTAGAACTTAATATAAGAGAAATATTGTAGTTATCTTGGCTTTTGGCTCAACTTAAGTCATTTTTTCATATGCATAAAATCATCGTTTTCATACTTGCATCTTGTCCAACCAAAACCATAACCTTCAGTTTTTGGTGTTTGGCACTCAGTTATCGATATTGATTTTTGGCGTTCATTTCAACCAAGAGGTTTTCATGTTTTAATCTTTGGTTTCCACTCCTATGCATATTTAAATATTTTCCAAATCTTTAGGTTTCAAAAAAACCTCTTGGTTTATATTCTTTGGTCTAAAACTGTGGAAATCATCCTTCACTTGGTGATCCGTGGTTTTTACCTGAAAAGGATTCGTTTTTAACATTTATTTATTGGTTTTTACTTAATATATCATAAATAAGTGCTTCCAATATTTGGTTTTTGATTTTGGAAACTATGGTTTTTTACATAAGTTTTGGTTTTGGTTTTCTACTTAATTTTCAAAAATCACACCAAACCAACCCAACATCGAATATGGATTGATTATTCAATGTTCTGATGTCCAAACATGGTTTTTGACATTTGGGCAAAATAACGACGTTGTTCCTTTAACAACGTTGTTGTGGGGTGCAATTGAAGTGGGTGAGGGGGATGTTTGGGTCAAGGCGGGGTGGAGAGGTTTACCGGGGGTAGGAACCGTCAATTTTACAAAATGGGGTACCGGAGCGCCTCGGGTCACCACACGACATGAGATTCCAATGTCATGGGAACCCCACCGAACCTTTAATTATAAAATTTTGACATTCTTCATTTTACGACAATGTGTAAGAACATCTCCTCGTATAACAATATGTATCCAAGTACTTATTAAAAACAAAGGGTATTATTTCCAAATATCTCCCTAATTAATACTCCCTCCGTCCCTAAATATTCACCACATTTCCTTTTTTAGCAGTCGCGGGAACTTTTGTTTATTTCGACGTTTTCATTGGTTATTTGATAAAATAAAATATTCTTGATACCTCTTATTTCGAAGAACTTTTCATGTAGTTTTTTATATATAAATTTTATTTTTTATTTCTATACCAATATGTGAATAAAATGAATTGAAAAAACTTGATATTTTGCCTCGGAAATACAAATGTGGCAAATAATTTGGGACGGAGAGAGTATAAGGCTCTAAGGCAGTTACCAATAGAGGTCATTTATTATCACGATACCCCATAAAATATCATTACCCATCACATAGCCCATTAAACCCCTCTCCGGCCCAATTTAGTCTAATATATTTGGGGCGGAAAAAGTGCATTGTTCAAGTTTTACACATTACCTTTGTATGTCACATTTTAAATTTCATATTTGCCTTTTTTTTCTGTCCCAAAATAAGTTGCATGTTACTTATTATCGTAAACTTTTATGAGTAAAATACCTAAACTGCCCCTAAAATTAGTCACTCTTCTTCACCTTATATTCTCATTCATCGTCATCCCTTCTAAAAAGTAATGGTAATTTTGAAAAATCAACTCCATTTTTTCTTTTCCTTAAATATATTCAAAAGTCAAAACAGACGATTTAAAACGGGACGGGTGGAGTATATATTAAGATTTGGGGGATCATATAATTAAGTAAATTTTAGAATAACACTTTAATTTTCCAACATTTTCCAACTTCTTCCAATTTTATTAAACATTTTCTAGTTCCTTTAAACTTCTTCTAGTTTTTTCCAACATTCAATTCTAAAATTTCAATCCAATAGAACATGTCTAAGTTTTACCCATCCTCTTATGATAGGGAATGTATACTTCCAGTCCCATTAAGAGTGTTACATATTACAGAGTATTTTTTACAAGTCTAAAAAATGTTAGAAAATGATGAAACTTTGCTTAGCTGCAGGAGATATATTTGTGCCACATATTTACTTCTCCTCCCTTCATTAATATTTCTCATATTTGTTTATGAGATATGAATAAAGTTATTTTGAATATAATTATTGAATTTTACTCATGAAGTATTCTATATTTATTGTCCTAAAATATAGCTTCTCAATTTGACCTAGTACAAATTCATAACAAAGTAAAAATGTGTAGTTAAAACGATACAGATGAGAGAAAAAAATTGTGAACACTTAAAATAAGGAGTTTTTTTATGGAATGAAATGAGTTTGTAAAACTAAAAATTTAAATCTTGATATTTAAAAAACCATGGAGTACATGAAAAAAATTCTAAAATACAAGATAAGATAAAACATTATCATACTTACTTCAAAAAAAACATTATCATACTACTTCCGTCCCGAAACACCTTTCACATTTTTACCTTTTTTTTAAATAAAATAATAGTCTTTGATAATACATTATGGAAAAAGTATAACTTTTTCAATATGAATTCAAAATATAATTTTTTTATAGACTTGAGAAATTGTCTTGATATACTCCATATCAAATTTTTAGGGAAAATAGCATAGGTGCCCCGTGCCCCCCGTGGTTTACAAAAGGAACGCCAAACCCCTCTCTACTTTCAAAAATTATTTATAAAACACTTGTGGTTTTTAAATAGTGCACGATGCCCTTTCTTGCCTATTTTTAAACATAAAATGACATTTCTACCCTTTGTTTTTTCTCTATCTTCAAGTTTTAATCTTTTATTTACAATTTATGTTATACAAATAAATAAAATAAAATATACGCCTTCTTTTCTCAAATTAAAAATTTTCATTTATTTCATTTTCAAAAAAATAATTTTTTTAAGAAAATGTTATAAAAGAAAATGAAAATTAAAAAATGAAATAAAATACACTTTTTCATTATAAGTAAAAGTAAAATAAATAAAATAAAAAATTAGATTACATATACTCACTGTATCTCTAATTAGAGATTTTAACTTATTTGTTTTTTAAAAGTAAAATAATTTTTAAGGATTTTAAAAAAGGAAGAATGGAAAGATGAAATAAAACAGGGAGCTAAATAAAAAGGTTGTTTTATATACTTTTCTTTCTTTTCATTACCTTTTTCAATTATTATTTTTTTACTTTGTACATAATATTTTATTTTTATTTTTCTTTTGTAACATTCTCCGGGAAAAAATCTTTTATTTTCGAAAATACATTATGGAAAATTTTAATTTAAGATGACAAGCGTATATTTTATTTTATATATTTGTATAATAAAAGAAAATAAAATTTAGAAAAATTCAAGATCGAGGAAATGAAAGGGCATAAATGTCATTTTTACTTTAAAAATAGGTAAGGGGGGCATGTTTGCTCTATTTAGAAACCATAGGGACTTTAAAAATAACTTTTGAAGACAGGGGAGTTTTGACGCCCTTTTTGTAAACCACAGGGGCACACATGCTATTAGCCCCAAATTTTTATCAAAATATGACACTTCTTTATTCAAATTACGTTTAATTTATACTCCGTAATATATACTCCGTAATATTTATTTCTCAATTCTACACAAATTTTTTACTTATATTGATTTGAAAATAAATTCAATAAAACGTTCGAACAAAAAGACCTTGTTTTGAGACAAAAGAAGTACTCCCTCCGTCCCCAATTTGATTACAAATTGCGGATTACAGAGTAAAATTTCCTACTTTTTGAAATCATTTTATTTACAAATTAGTATATCAATAAGATATAAAAATTACATATTAAAAAATTACGTCAAAAGTTCTACAAAACAAGAGATGACAAGAATATTTTATTTTATCAAATACTTAATAAAATTGCGTTAACAAACAAAAGTTGTTGAGAGGAGAGAGAAAAAAATTGTACTCCATCCGTCCCAATTTATTTGAAACACTTCGAACGATGTGCAAAATATCGTCTCTTTTAAAATCACTTTAATTTCAAATTGGTAGAGTAATAAAAAGAAAAAATTAAACCATTCAAAAAAATATGAAAAGTTCTACAAAACAAGATGCGACAAGAATATTTTATTTTGTCAAATGGTCAATCAAAACGAGTAAACAAACAAAAGTTATCGAGAGGTCAAAATAGTAACCGTGACATTCTTTCTGAGACGGAGGGAGTAATTCATTTAGGTACAGAGAGAGTATTATTTATCTATTCTCATTAACATATACTCCTTCCGTCCCGCTATATTCGTCTATTTTTTACTTTTATGACTGTTCATCTAAACACTTTGACTCATCAAATTCTCTTAAGTCTAAATATAGTCATGCGTGATCTTGTTTGATTTGTCTTAACATATAGATTATTAATATATACGAGTAATTTCTATAATTTTTTAATATACAAATTACAAAATAAAATGGATTAAAGAAGTATATTGAATGGTGTGCAAAAATGAAAGTGGACAAATATAATGGGACGGAGGAAGTAAATATTTATATTAAATTTATATAAATTTTAAATTAAAAATGATGAATAATATAAAAAGACAAATTTTAGAAGGCAATAACATTGTAACATTTTGAAACAAGAAATTAGTATTTTCCCCACACTAGGCTATGAAAACTTATTTTCATCCTCCGAACTTCTGTAATCAACACCCAAAAACTTGAAATTCAAGCTCAAATCAACATAGAGTCTTGATTCCAAAAACAGAATTTTTTAATACAGAACTAAAACTGAACTATTTCAGAAATCGCCAAAACCAGTCGCCCAAATCAATTTTCATCTTAAACAAACAAATAAGTTAATTTCACATAAATTTCAAAAGGAATTGGATAAGATTATACTCAGATCTGGCGAAAAAGGACGAAATCAGAGAAGAAACATGCTTTAATGGAAACATAAATTCAAGAGGAGAAAATAAAAACGGCTTTAAAGAGAGGCTCAGATCTGTATTTCCAGAGGGAAATAGAAAGACGAGACCGCCATGGCTGCAACAACCGGGTCGATTTCCGGGTCGCCCCGCCAAGATACGGACCGTTTCTCCAAATGCCTCATGATTTAGTAGCCCAAAAAGAGAAAACACAGAAAACCATATCATCACAGCCTCTTCATAGTTCAACCAATAATAATAGGTTTTAGTCCTATTCAATGCAAATTTCACATAATAATAATAACAATAATAATAATAATAATAACAATAACAGCAAGAAAATATACTCCGCAGTTTTTATTTATTTGTTTGTTTACTACTCCGTACTCCGTAGTTTCTTTCCGGCGAAGATGAAAGGGCTGTTTGGAAGGGGCATAAAGTAATCAATCATGTGCAGATGAGAGGGAGGCAACTGCCCTCTCAATAAACTCCCATCCCTCTCCTGCATCACTTCTTTTTGGGCTACAACTCATAAGCATGAAGGGATAAGTCTTTATATAGGCATTTGATGATAGCAACTCTGAGTTTGACTTTTCATTTTCATTCCTCATTTTTAGGTCATACAATCAAATTGAGAATTTCAATTCTAATTTTATTATTTGGTATTACATAATTGTATGGATTTGGAATTGGTAGCTAAAAATGAATTAAAATGAGAGTATTTGGTTCTAATTAAATTGAATTTTGTCAATTTGATATACCAAACGGATCTTCAATCCTTCATTGTTCATAGAAAAAACATTACTTCATCATTGAATTGTTGATTTAATTTCCAGACAGTGCCGGAAAGAAAAAAGTATTCCGGATCAGTGATGTCAGAAAGAATTCATAATCAATTCGTAAATTATTTAATACGAAGCGGTAGATCATCTACCGTTACGCCCTTTTAAAAAAATTGTTTAATATGAAATGGTACTTTGTCTACTGTTCGAATAAAAATATCCAAATTAAAATAGACCAACACCATAGAATTCACCTAACTCAATAAATCTTATACCATCCAACCCAACTAACACCTAAAAAATTCTACACTACACAATCAATCTAACTCAATAAATCTACCTAATAAAATACGTCACGTAACATAATAAATTTATCAAACAAAAATATCTCACCTAACATAATAAAAACTGCTGCACCTAACTCATATTATCTACTATATATTTAAGACTTTACTCTTACACACTTACTATTTAAAAATTATACTTTCAAATATCTACTCACTATTTTTCTTTACATTATCAAAAAATGGCTTCTGATGACAGTTTTATTATTCTAGCCTATTGGAATGGTAAGCTAAACGTTGAAAATAATGAAGTAGAGTACTCATTGCATTCAAATAAAGCTTTTGTGTTTGATCTTGATGTCCCATTCGATGAGGTCTTCAATGAACTCCTCGATGTCATTGCCGATGACAATCTCAATTCAATCAAGAAAATTTGGGGAAAATTTCCCAAATACAAGGATGGAGTGTGTGTTGCATCACGTCCTTTCATAAATTCTGATTCAATGAACTTCTCGATACCCCTCACATGTCAATAAAGAAAATTTGGTGAAAATATCTCAAATACAAGGATGGAGTGTGTGTTGCATCACGTCCTTTCCCAATTTCTGACGAGCGAACATGGAGGTGTGTAACACACACCCTGGCCGAAAGTGTCTGCTCATAGGATTGTAGACTGACCCCACCAACAACCACAAGTCTTTCTCGCATACTTTTTCCTCACTCGTGAGTGTCCAAGTAACTTTCCAGGGGTCACCCATCCTAGAATTGCTCCAAGTCAAGCATGCTTATTGTGAAGTTTTTAAATGATGAGCTCTCGAAAAGAAGATGCACATTGTTGGTATAAGTAGTACTATCAATCCTTTTGAGCCTTTCCTTTGCCAATCTATTTATTTTCAAATTAAGGTATTACATTCATTCCCACTTAAGAATGCAATCCTTTTTTTCAAACCCCTAGATTTTTCCCGCTATGTGAACTAAGTTCGTTGGCCCGTCACAATTGCAAGGTTGCTTTTGATACTACGGAGTATTTGTAACCCCTCGCCCCCACCCTGGCTGAAAGTGTTTGCTCATAGGATTGTAATATAACTTACTTGGTGCTTTATAGTTAATGTTTATTTTTTTTGGTTGTAATATATCAAAAATGTCTATCAAATAGCTATTAAGCGAAGTGTATTTTGGTATGTTTCATCATCTAAACTATGACTCCATGAGTAAGATTTCAAAATTGCCTTTTTCTAACCAAATTACCCCTATGAGATTATAACTATACCCCTTTCGTCCAACAATTTCTTTTCCGTTTTAACTTGAGATGATTAAGAAAAGCAAAAGATTATAAATATTTTCCATATTCCCTTGTTGTGAAATGATAAAGTAAATAATGTTGATGAAAAATAGGGGTAATATAGACACATTTATTTAAAAAATTTACCAAAATAAGAAACAAGAAATAAATTGTGATCAACTGAAAAAGGAAAGTGAGAAAGAAATTGTTGGACGGAGATAATACTATCACCCCAATTGTGAGAGGACTGTCGTGGAGGAAAAATATTTCAATTTTAAAGTACTCTGTACCATATAGATAATTTTTTGTTGTTGAAGACTCGTTTAGGAAAACACATACTCTTTTCTATTTTCTTTTTCTAAACACTTATTCTTTTTTTTATTTGGAACGGTACGGTGCAGTTCACGTGACATTGTTCGGTAATGTCATGAGATGACCCAGAGGCGCTAAGGTGCCCGGTTCGTAAAATTGACGATTCCTACTCCCTCCCCGGTAAACTTCTTCCACCTCGCCCCGACCCGAGCACACCCACCCCCTTCTTATTATTGTATATTTCAAAGGGTTTTGCTTAGTGTACACCACCAAGAAGGGGCAAATTATATTATGCATCCAGTTGTACCCAATTTTGGGTACAATCAAGAAATTATTTATGGTATGAATTTTATTTTACATGAGAATAATACTATATATTATTTGAAAATGAATACTGTTTTGTTTCAGAATGAACACTATATTATTTGTAGATTAATATTATAATTATTTTGAACCAATGTGTAAAAATGAGTACTGCATTATTTTAGAATGAGTACCACGCTAATTATATTTGTGTGAGAATGAGTATTACTCTACTTCAAAATGGATACTTATCAAATGTAACGTACATCCGGTTGTATCATATACCTTCTCCCAAGAAAGTGATTTACACTTGTGGTAATCAATATGGGGTATTTTTTTCCTTTTTCAAAATGTAAAGTTTTACTCTTTAAAACTTTTACTCCATAGTAATATTGTACCTGAAGACATATCGTGTTTCCAAAAATGAACAACAACAACAACAACCCAGTTAAATCCCACAAGAGTAGGGTCTGGGGAGGGTGTGTGTACGCAGACCTTGCCCCTACTCGAAAGTAGAGAGGCTGTTTGCAAAGAGACCCCAGGCTCAACGTCGAAAGCTGCATTGCTTGACTAACTGCTACTTCATTAATTAAAGAAGCGCAAATAGTTTAGATATCAATTTTGATTTATTCCATCACACCCCAAAGCAAAAAACAGGTGAGATTTTGGCTCCATCTGAGATGATGGACGCATATTTAAATCTGTTTCCAAAAATGAACGCATATTTAAATTTGTTTTCAAATTGGAACAGCTGATGCCAGCAGAGCCGTTTACGAAACGCCAGAGGCCAAGTGCTTTGTCGGTACGTTGATGAATCTCGGAGTAGAAAAGAAGTAGACAAGGGACCGGAATCTTCTTCAATTGGCGTTGATATACCGCCGAATTCTGATTCCTGGTTTTGAAGATCTCCTGTTTTCTTTTCTGATCGCATTTAAGGTTCGAAGTTTTTTTTATTATTCTATTCAGATGTTGATCATATTCGTTTGATGCCTTGTTTGATTCCTGAAATCTGGTTCTTGATCTTATCGCGACTCAATTTGTTGCTTTTGTTTTGTCTTTATTCCCTTAATGGCGATTCGATCTTTTTTTTCTTGTTAGTGATTCAGTTCTTCCGCTCCGGGAAGAAATCCAAGCGTAATTGCGAAACTGTACTTTTTTGCCAGTGATTTGTGGGGACACTTCGTTTTGCTTTTTAATTTTGATCACAAACTTATTTTAGTCCACAAATCCTATGAGTGTATGATCCCCAGTGAATTTATTGTAATTGATCAAATTCTTGCAAAGATTACTTTTTTCTTGGTTTATTTGGAGTATTACTTGGGTTATTTCATCATATGCTAGGTTTTGGTGGCCAACCATTACTTTTTTTTTCTTTCTTCAATTGTATACTGGGTTATATATTTCTCTTTTTCCATTGTTTTGTTTCTCCTACGTGTGTTAATAAAATGGAGATATTCATTCAAATTACCTTGACGTTCCTTTACTTAAAAGACGGAAACAGTTGGAGTTGATGCATTTGTTTTAATTTGCTTTTCAAAAAAGCATACTATATGATGTATTTATGTGTGGTTTACTTCTATATTACCCACACATATGCCTTCTTTATTTGAATTGTAAAACACTTCTTTATACTTTTAATTGCCTTGCATTTCAGGGTGATCTGCACCGGACTGGATTGATGTGCAATGCAGAGATCTCGTAAGGATTTTCAGCAAAGAAGGTCCTTGGATAATGCAATATGTGAAAAACACACTTCATCGAGAGTCTCTTTTTTGCCTGTTCTTCTGTGGGCACTTGTCTTCGTTTTAAATTTGTGTGTTAGCCATGGTGCCATGGACAAAGGTTTGTTTATAGTCCAAATATCAGATTATTAATCCTTCATACTTGTTATTGTTTCTTGTCTGAATTGAGTTTCATTGAACAAACACGAAAAACAATTTGCTTAAATAACATACTTTCTTCCAATTAATTGGCATTTGCACTTTGAGATTAGTTTGATCTATTCCAATTAATTGTTGTTTGCATGCATTTTTTGGTGGAGTCAGATTCCGGATCCGGAGAATATCAGTTAAGTGTTCAATATGGGGATGATGCTAAGCTTGTGTTTGAAAGAGAAAATCATTCTGCTTCATCCACAGATGAAAATCCCCAAGTGGGAATCAGTTCTGAAGAGTTGATCCATGCATCACTTGAAGAAACTGATGGCATCCGCAGTGAATCAGACAACACAAAATCTGCTCTGGATGTCGAACAGCAAACTGACACAGGGAAGTCAGAATCAATCAGAAATTCAGAAAATGAATCAAATTCTGATAGATTTTCTCAGTCAATCACTTTAAGTCTCGATGAGTTCAGGAACAAAGCATCCAATCCAAAAATACGAGACTTGAATGATCATGCAGGAAGCATCACCCATAGGGTGGAACCAGGAGGAGCAGAGTACAATTATGCTTCTGCTTCCAAAGGGGCTAAGGTCTTGGCTCACAACAAGGAAGCGAAAGGCGCTTCTAATATATTGAGCAGAGATAAAGACAAGTACCTCAGAAATCCTTGTTCTGCTGATGAGAAGTATGTTGTGATAGAACTCTCAGAAGAAACTTTGGTGGACACTGTTGAAATTGGCAACTTTGAACACTACTCGTCCAATCCAAAGGATTTTGAACTTCTTGGTAGTCATATCTATCCAACTGATGCTTGGGTCAAACTTGGTAATTTTACTGCTGGGAATGTCAAACATGCTCAAAGGTTTGTACTAACAGAACCAAAATGGGTGAGGTATGTGAAACTGAGTTTTCTTAGTCATTACGGATCAGAGTTTTACTGTACACTAAGTGTTGTGGAAGTGTATGGAGTTGATGCTGTAGAGAAGATGCTGGATGATCTCATCTCTGTTCCAGAAAAGAAAGCTTCTCCCGATCAAACAAACAATGAGCAGAAGAAACCGATGACCACCGCCCAACACACGTTGCCTGATGTCAGAAATTTAGAAAGTGACACCGAACGAAACTCTGATGTCAAACCAATGGCAATGACAACGAACGTGCCTGATCCACTTGAGGAGATTCGCCATCTACAAGTGAACAGGATGCCCGGCGACAGTGTTCTTAAAATACTAATGAAGAAAATTCAATCTCTTGATATAAACTTATCAATCATTGAGCGTTATCTGGAAGAAATGAATTCTAGATATGGAAAGACTGCTGCAGTGTTTGGCAAGGATATGTCAGATAAAGAAGCCCTTCTCAAGACAATCACATCAGACATAAAGAGTTTTTCCGAGAGCAAAGATGCCATGGTATGTGAATTCCTTACCAAGAAAATATACACATCAGAGATAAAGAGTATGCTTTAGTGAACATGTTTTTCCTTTTCTTGCAGAATAAGGAGGTCAATGACCTCTCATCTTGGAAGTCCCTTGTATCCATGCAGCTGGAAAAAATAATGATGGATAATTCTAATCTCAGGTTTGATCTCTTCCCAGAAAGGATATATAACTTAACTTCATACCGTAAATCTTTGCTGGTCGATCTGCATTTTTTGTGCGTGTTGTCTTTTCCTTGTTCATATTCTGTATTGCTTTCATTTATCTGCCCTTCCTAATGTGTGCTAAGATAATGCAGGTTGAAGGTGGAAGAGGTTCACCGGAGGCAAGTGTATATGGAGAGTAAAGGAATAATTATTTTTCTAGTATGTTTAATATTTGGGTCCATAGCAGTTTTGAGGATGTTTGTATATTTATTGTTGAGCATTTACAAGCATGAGTGTTCCAGGAAATTTTGTGATAAAGATTATTCCTGGATTTTCTTACTGTCTAGCTGCAGCATCACTATTATCATCTTGTCCTTATAATGGAGTTTATTTTTTTTGTGTTCTCTTTTTAACTTGTGCTTATATTATTAGTCTTCCTTGTCAATTTCTAATTGCCTTATTATGAAAATTCTTTCACTGTGTTAAAAAGAAGTATTGAATGCTTTTTTTTTGTTTTCAACTTGGTTTGTTTTTAGAGAAGTCTTGTGCCCCTTTTGAAAATTGAGGTGAAATTGTTCCCAATACCTTTTGAAATAAGATGGTGTTTGATGGGTTATTAATATCTGACCAAATAAGCTTGCTGTATGTGGACACAATGCCTTGTGTGATTATACCAAGTGATCACTTCTCCTTACATATCATCTAGCACACTAACTCACTAAGGTAGTGTTTGGTCTAGAGAAAATTGATTTCCAAAAATACTGTTTTGTTTATTGTTAGTGTCATCCCACATCGGAAGTCCAAGAGTAAAACAATTGGTATATAAGTTCTTGAGTTAAACTAACTAATCGATTGGATACAATCTTTTAATGTGGTTCAGTCTAAAGTGTCTTATTACCCAATTCAGTTATCATTACCCATCTTAAATTCTATCATGTTATCAAAGTAGGTCCTTTAGGGTGTTGGCATTCAAAAAAAAAAATCAAGGAGAAGAGAGTCTAATTGCAAGTGGTTAACCAGTTAGATACAAGATAGCCTGACTGTCCATTTGAGGGAGAGTATTCGAGTGTCATCCCACATCGAAAGTTCAAGAGTAAAATAATCGCTATATAAGCTTTTTAGTTGAACTAACTAATCAATTCGATTCAATCTTTTAATGTGATTCAACTAAGTGTCTTATTATCTAATCTAGTTATTCTTAGGGGCTATTTGTTTCAGCCTCTTAATGGTTCAGATGTCTGAATGGTTCAGCACTTAATGATTCAGACTGTTTGTTTCAGCCTCTTAATGGTTCAGATGTCTGAATGGTTCAGACATTTGCCTCTGAATGGTTAAGTATTGTACAGAGTCTGAATGGTTAAGACCTCTTATCTGAATTGATCAGACATTTGCCTCTGAATAGTTAAGCAATATACTAGCTCTTAATGGTTCAGACCTCTTACTAGTTCAGCACTTACCTATTCAGAAGTTGCCAAACAGCCCCTTACTCTATCCTAAATTCTAGAGTAAACCCCATAAAAGGTCTCCAGTTATAGGTCGTTTTACATATTTGGTTCTTACATATCAAATATTACTAATTTAGACCTCAATTATTATATTCATTTCCAGAAATGGTCCTTTATTAACATTTCCGTTAAAAATGTGGATAAAATTGTAAATTCACACTCTTTTCTCTCCTCAATTAAGCTTTGTCCCTCCCCTCGTACTCCTATCCCAAATCCGTCGCTGAGTTTGAAGCTTTGAACCCAAAACCGAAATCATCACTCTTCTCTCAATTGTTTGTCTAACTGGTAGAACCCAAATTCGAAACCACTAACCTTCATGGATGAATTTTAATGTTTATTACTTTGCAATTTCTTGAGACTAACCGAGAAAACTCATCCATAAAGCTTATTGGTTTTGATTTTAGGTTCCACCAAAAGGACTAATAATTGAGAGAGGAATGATACCAAGAAACATGTAACTTATTTTGGGATGAGGAAAAAAGAAAAACAGATAATTTACAATGAAACAGAGAGAGTATGTAAAAAATATATTTACTTGATTTCAAAAAAAAATTACATTATAAAATTTAGAATAGACAAAAATTTGATACACTAATGAAAGAAATACTCCGTATTAAAGAAAAAGTAATGCTTAATAAAAAAGAAAAATGCTACGGGTACACTTTTGGTGTATTCCATTTGTCCCCCACTCCCTCCATAATCATAAAAAAGGCAAGAGATTAAAAAAAATTAAATAAATAAAAATAAAATAAAATTGAATGGTGGAGGAAGGGGTGGGGGACAAATGAGGTTTGGTGTATCCCTGCCAAATAAGCCCACGGCCGACTTCTTCTACTGATTACGGATTGCCGATCTACCATCTTCGCCTTCTTCTGCCTTCTGCCAAATAACCGGACCCCATTTATGACCGGGCCGGTCCCGGCGGTTACCAAGTTTCACAGTGAATAGCATTGGTTTGGTCGTGATGTGTAGCGAGGATATATCACTCGAGGGATTAGAGGAAGAGCTAGAAGAGTGTAAAAACGACGATGTATGCATGTTAATACTCCGTATTATACAGTTTGGGTTCAATTTCGTCTCGAGCTTTCATATTTTCTTTTCTGAGGAATTGTAAATGCATATAATTTCCTGATTTTGAGATACTATGTTGCTGTTTCAATTCGTAGGTAGTAGCAAACATACTCTCCAAAGGCATGAAATTACGGGAATACACAAAGGGAGTTGAGAACAATCTAAGGCAGGTTGAGCTGGACTCGATCCAGGTTTGTTAATCTCTTGTGCATTACCCTGGTTTTTGGCGTCTTAAATATTGATTCGTGTTTTAGCTGTTAATGTTGTGTAGTTTCTTTAAAAGATGCTCTCTACATTTTTTCACAATCTTCAGAACTCGTATTAAGGATGATATTTTACCCAATTTTACCTCTTTGCTGTATTATGGTGATGGTTGATATCCTTGATGTGATGGTTGAGTGGCTTAATAGGATTATTTGTACAATTAACAGGATTACATAAAAGAAAGTGACAATCTAGTCTCACTTCATGATCAAATTCGTGACTGTGATACGATTCTTTCACAAATGGAAGCTCTGCTAAGTGGATTTCAGGTATTTATGTCTGCAGCATTTAGTCATGATTGATGAAAATGTTGTATTGCTTCTGAGTTCTAGAAATATGGCTCTCCGAGTTTACTTTTGTCCTTATTAGTTAGTACTAAGTAGCAGAGAGGTACATATTGTAACTTTTGAGTTTCTGAATCCAACGATTATAACACGTTGATATATAATGGATGAAGATGTAGGTCTTTTGCAGCCTTAGTTTCATGGATTGATATGATTCAATACTTGGGTAGATCTGGCAAGAGAGAATGACACACCCCGTGAAGTATGACATTGTGTGCGCTTAATCCCCTAACCTTTGCTATGTTAGAGCTCACCTTCTTAATTATGTTGTTATTGCATGTTTAACCATTCGGACAAAAATAGTGAAGTATTCCCTCCAAGATGCATATCCGTTGTGTGCACGTGATTCCGCGTGAGGACGGAGAATCCATATGTTATCCCGTGTCCCCATCGGCTCTGCAATAAATTACAAAAGCTAACTAACATTACCATGAAACCACTAGATTAGGAAAAAAGAAATTAAAAAACTGAGAAACATCAAATTAACAAAAATGTCAAGATCAAGCCACATTTCAAGTAATATAAAATTAATCCAGAAGTGTTTCAATCAACACATCGTGCTAAATAAAACTAAAAGCCATCCAAAAGATTACATCCATCAATGCAAATCACCGTTTTGCTATAGGTGAAACCTCTATGAATACACACCCAAAAGTTTTAATAAAAGTTTGGATGACTTTAGATTGTGCAGTAGTGCGGGTAAAACGACAGTATGCATGCACACATGTGCTCATGTTTTGCGAAATATTTTTTGGATTTTGCAGGAGGATGTTAAACGCATAGAAACAAAATTGTTCAGGGTGTAGATTCTAACATTGTGAAGGTTAGGGGTTAAGCGTTCAAAGTACCATACTTTGGCGGTGAGGAACTGTGTGGCTGCCATTTCCTCATCTTACAGTCGTAAAAGATGGTCCTAATGTCGAATTATCAATTTTGTGTATGCCTGCCCTGAATTATTCATCTTCACACACCATATTATAAGAGAATACATGAAACAAATTCTTAGTTTGAAATTCAAACTATCAAAAATTCAAAATTGTTATCCAGATTATTTTCATTACAGACAGAAATAGGCTCTATCAGCTCAGACATAAAAATCCTTCAAGAGAAGTCTATGGATATGGGACTGAGGCTGAAGAATCGGAAGGTATTGTTTTTGTAGTTGAATATTATTAGTACATAAGTTTTGACCAGTAATGGCTCTGCATTCCTTAAGAATCTACACTAAAAGTTTGCTTTCCTTCTTTTTAACTATGATAGAGTACTTTGTACTTGTGATACTGCCATACTGGAATTCGTGCTGGTAATATATCAATCAGTTATAATTGGTTTTATTCTCTTCTGTATTTGATTTTATAAAGGTGGTTGGAGGTTACTCCTCTCTGTATCCACTAATTCATTAACTGTGTCAATAAATTGTTATTGTATCTCAAGATGAAACCTGAAAGGCATAAATAGTGGACATTACAAATAACTAGCGAATGCTTTGATTGGACAAAAAAACTCATTCAGATTTTTGTTTTAACCTTTTCTCCAATCTTATATATGTTCCTTACTTTCCATTTTTGTTTAATTCTGACTCAACACTCTTTCCGTACCAAAATAAACAACACCTTGGTCTGTCCCAAAATAAAACTCCATTTCCTTTTCTGGTAAGGAATATGTGGCCATTTTTATTTCTCTCTTTCACGCTTTTCTTAAACACATCTGGTGCAACTTTAGTGGGAGGCGCAATGAGGAGCAGATTTTTGCATTTTGCACCAGAGTACCACATACAGGTTATTTTCAAGTATTTGGGTTGTATCATGTAGAAAGAGGACGAAAACAAGTTAACATCACACATCATTATAAATGGAGAATTGCTGCATGATGGTTTTTTGACAAAAACATCATGTTAAAACTGAAGGGGAAACTCTACAGGTGAGGAAGAAGCATGAGTAGAAATGGGAAGTTTTGGAGATGAGGAGTGAGGACATTGATGTTGACATTTGGTATGGTCAATCGTATCAGACAAAATACCGAAGATGATGTTAGGATCAGGTCTTAAAATTCATTATTATTTAATAAACTAAGAGAGAGAAGATTGCAATGGTTAGGCCACCTTCTTCAGAGAGATTCAGCACCATTGGCGAGGAGGGTAGAGTGCATCGTGGTTGAAGAAATGGTGCATGCCACTAAAGATGTTGGATGAGCAATTGTAGTTGGACATGATGACCTTGAACCTCTCCTAGAATATGGCATCTGATGGGATTCTTTGATGTCATATTAGGGTTTGCGTGTCGATTCCCTGTAGGGTTTGTGTGTCTTTGCTAGCTGACTCTTTGCTTTCATGCTTTCTTGTTGTCTTACTTCCATATTGTTTAGTACTTTTTTGAGTTGCTTTTTTTTCTTTATATTGCACTGCATACCATTTCTTGCTGGAGGTTTTCATCGAAAGTTGAAACAACCTCTATATTCCAATGGATAGAGGTAACCGTAAGGTCTATATGCCTCTCATCTCCCTAGACCTTATATTTGTGTGAGATATAATGTGTATGGCTGGTTTGTTTTGGCTTGGTTGCTTTTGCTTTATTATGTAGCTTTGATTTTTCTTTAAAACTTCACATCTTCATTGGTTGTTTTATCTTCTTTTTTTCCTCTGTCTTGCTCTGGTTGCTTCTCATGCTTAAGGAAAAGTTGGGTGATTTTCCTCTTGCAGGTGGCAGAGGCAAAACTGTCAAAATTTGTTGAAGATATTATTGTTCCACCAAGGATGATAGACATTGTTGCTGATGGAGAGGTATTTAAGTTTTCTTACGAAAAATCTTTATATGAATGCTTTATTGCGCCTTCAGCAGGTTATATAAGTGAAGACATTGCATCTGGGTATGCAGCTAGATGGAATACTGCATCTGCAGACTGCAGTCACATTTAAGTGAATAGTTGAGATTTTCTTGATATTATAAGAAGAAATTATGGCGTACGATTGAATGTTGCACTAAGTTAACTTAACTAGTTAACTGTCAAATGTTATTGTTCCTCAGGGGAGCATTTTATTTTATTTGCTTGAATTTTTATTATTGGCAGTTCTGTCTTGCTCAGTTTTATGAAACCCTTGTCTATCGAACTTGCTTTGTTTGACATTCACAATCAGCAGTTTTGGCCAGTAATCTTCATTGAATTGTTTATTTTTATTTTTGTAATTCTGCTAATTTCCTAGATTTTTTAGTTGTTTTATACACTATACAGACATGCTTAGGGAGAGGTTGACAGTTCTGTCTTGCCTCAGTTTTATGAAATCCTTGTCTATCGAACTTGCTTTGTTTGACATTCACATTCAGCAGTTTTGGCCAGTAATCTTTATTGAATTGTTTATTTTTATAGGTCTGCTAATTTCCTAGATTTTTTAGTTGTTTTATACACTATACAGACATGCTTCTAAACAGTAGTCTTCTGCTTCTACATACGAGTTCCAAGGTTTTCTCAGCTTTGCCAAGGCTACAACTAGGCTCCATTTTGGTGCCTGGGTGGTGAAGCACATTCCCCATGATAATGCGCCTTCCCTGGAGTTCATTTGGCATTGCTTAGGTGTTAAAAAATGATCATGCGCTCTCGCAATGTCCATTCCCAAAAAATTCACCAAAGCAATTTTAACCTGTCAAACATGACCCACTTTTCTTTTTATATTAACAAATGCATCACAGTATCAGAATTTTGAATGACCCGGGAGAGAAAACCTAAAAAGGAACGGTCCTTTCACTGCAAATTGGTACTCTTTGCCGCTGCCTTCGCTAATCTCTGATGCTTGCAGCTGCAGCTTGCTTCACAACGTTTTCCTTTTCGTTTTCCCTTTTCTTCTTTCTTCCATTTATTTTCTTATTGCTTCACTTTCTTCTTTCCCATAGTATTGTTTTGTTTTGTAGAGTTAAAGATTGCAGCATGTACTACTGTCCTATTACTATTTGTGTACAGCCTGTAGTGTACCAGTGTAATATATGTAAATGTCCATTATTCTTCTACAGTGCTGAACTTTTTATAATAATGGTTTAATATTGATTTTTATATTCATAATTGTTTATTTGTGTTTTTTTTATTTTTTTGTTTCTCTAATAATGAGAGGAATGAGATTCATGCGGAAGATTTTTTTTGAAGATTTTTTTACTTTCGTAGTTTAATTTGTTGCAATCTGGTATTGAACTATTGGTTGGAAATAATTTCATAAATTTGTAATTGATATGCAGTAATATATTTTACTATAGATTATATTCCCTCTATATCATTTGATTTGTTGTAGCTATTGTTCACTGTCACACTGAATTCTATTTTATTCTGTTTTTTATAATATTCAGAATGGATTCATGTCATTACTTATTTTATAGAGCTTTTAATATACTCCCTCCACCCTTGAATAAAATTTCCACTTTCCTTTTTTGGTCATCCCAAAAGCAACTTCCGGTTTCTGTTTTTGCCATGCTCCTTTTACTTTTAAAAAACAAATAAACAAAAAGTACATTTTTACAACCAACAACCTAGTTTTATAATACTTTTTACTTCATTCTTACAAAACCCAAAAAAGTAGGAATGATCATTTATATAGTTTTCTTTCCATTCATATTCTCCGTGCCATTTTTGCATGAGAAAATAAATTTGGGACAAAGGGAATAGTTTTTAAATTTGTTAGTTTTTTTGCTAATACTAATATAAATTTTACAAATGCGAGTTGAAAAATCTTTCCATTGACTTGTATCATGAGTAGGAAACAAAAAAAGGGGACAGAGTAATATATTACATTGTATTTATTATGATTTGAATTTAAATATGATGTTTGTGAATTATTGGCTGGTCGCGTAATCGTTTAGGCGATAAGATGGTCAGCAAGTGCTTTGCATCGTCTTGATGTTGTAACAGCCTTGCTGAGTTCAGTTTAGTATTCAGATCTCCACTGTTTCATCCTCTAACTTTGATAGGCCAGATATTGTACCGTACTGATAACCCTATTTTCATTTTGGTCATTTTTTCAGTTTGGTTTGTTTGGCCCACACTTGCCTTAGCCATCTCTGTGATTTCCTAAGTCTACCCACCACTGTTGACGGCAAAACCTCCGCTTCTATGGCTGGTTTATCTTTGTCTTTGCCAATCAGAGTTATCAGACTTCCATAGCCACCACCATTGATAGGTCCCCACCTCTGTCACTGCCACCATTAAGATTCCAACCTCTGATGCTTGTTGCTGATCAAACTACCACCAGCAAAGCATTTGTTGATGCAAATATCTGATTTCATTATTGACCACGTCTCCCGTCATTGTTAGCCAAACAACCTTCCATTGTGGGCCAAACTACCTCTGTTATTGACACCATTCATACCTTAAGTGCAAATCCGCAACCACCAGCGTCCTCCTGAGTTCAGCAGCCTCTATAATTTAGATGGAGTTATGCATGTATCACATGTTTTACAATGAATTGAATTGATGTTTCCTGCCTAAAATTTGATGGAGATGTTTTAGATGGAGATGTTTTCAAATTCAATGGAGATGTGCATGCAAATAAGTTATTCTTTAGTTAAACTTTTTAATGTTTGTGAAGTCAATGTGTATACTATTTTTGTGTTAGTCCGTACTCTAGCTTGGTAGTTTCCACCGCCTGTCCAATTTGACGGCGGACTTAAAAAGCCAGCCTATTATGACTGGTCGAGATGGACTTTGTCAGCAATGTAGTGTTAAAATGTGCCTATCGGTCAAGTAGTTGTGTTGATTTTATGATTTGTTATTTAGCTCAATTCTTTGGCACAAGATAGTTAAGAGTATGCAATGAGTGCTTCCCTTGGTGACACAGTAAAGTCTAAATTAACCTTTTAAAGAATAATCTAGTGCTATATTGAAGAAGAGATCTATGGTTGCAAATTGTTACACTACTAGTTTAATCACTTTTTTATTTTGATATTTTTGTTTTTCTAGAATGTTCTTGCAATTGCACATTGTGCAACAAATAAGTTTGCTTCATCTTTAGGTTAATGATGAATATATGAGAACATTGGAGATTCTGAGTAAAAAGCTGAAGTTTGTCGAAGTAGACCCAATGGTTAAAACATCACAAGCCTTAAATGATGTTCAACCTGAACTTGAGAAGCTAAGACAGAAGGCAGTATCAAAGGTATTTTCATGTTTACGTGCTTTGAGGTGTGTTTGTTTTATGTAGTATTATGTCATTATGTAGTAGCAACAATAATCTGAAGGCCCATATACACAAGACACAACTAAAAACTCGCTACTAAGAACCCCCAAGGGACATAATTAAGAGGTCATTTGGTTTGTATTTTTTGATTGATTGGGCCAGAGTATCACAACTTGAACTCGTTTGCATCTCGCATTGTGGTGCCTAGCCATCTAGGAGAGTCTCCTAGATACACTACTTTAATCTTCCTCGTCATGAACCCTACTCATTTTGTTATTTTATGACAAATTCTATTATAGCTTTTTGAGCTATAATATACTTCCTACACCTTAAATAGAGTTATATTTTTGAATATGGAGTACTTTGTATTGGTAAACAAAGCCCAAAATCTATCAATGAAGCTATTTTCATGTAGTTTGTCAACAAATTACAAAATGAGTCGCAAAAACATTACATAGGAGAAATTTATTACAAACATGTGAGATTTTTTATTTATGACTGTTGTACACTGGTGATGACTCTATTTTGAAATTTGAGACTGAGGTAGCATAATTTTAAGCACGTACCGAGTGTTTATTATTTAATTACAGCTCAAAATAAACTATATGCTCTCAAATAGGCTCTTCCCAACCTGTCCATAATTTGTGTGCCAAATTCATATATAATGCTCTAAACCAGAAAGGGAAATAATATATTTTCTGTCCAATTATCTGTAATATAATTTGTAGACGCGTGCTTGTGCCTTTTCATCTTTTGTTCAGTAATCTTATTGTAAGGACTGAATTGGAAGATTAATGCTTCACCTTGCCATTATGCTCAAAATGTTTTAAGAGTAAGAAAAATAGGTTCTTTTGATATATGTAGGCCTAATTTGGTTTTCATTCTTCTTTTGGCAATTTCTGATGCTCAGAATAAGCCAAAATCAGTTATTTAAGAGTTAAAGTAATTATGTGGAATCAAGTACTTGATTATTTCTATTAATCAGTTTCTAGTGTAAATCCAATATTAGTGTAAATCAATTACAGATTTTGCATTTTCCTTGTAAGAATGCTCAATACATTAATCAGGGCACTCTTTGCGAAACATGGCTAGTTTACAAGAAATGAATCGACACTTGCAAGTTAAATATGTAAATTTAATCACGAGGAACTTCATATGATTCACCTGACAAAAACGTTGTTGGCACTATACCCGCACACATTTTTAAACTAATATTTTTATATCTTTGTCCTTCCAAGGTGTTTGACTTCATGGTTCAAAAGCTATATGCATTGAGGAAACCAAAAACAAATATACAGATCCTTCAACAGAGTGTTCTTTTGAAATACAAGTGAGTTGTTTCTTTCATTTATTTAATAAGAGTTAGTCCCCTCTTTTTGCACTATGCATGCTTCAGTTTGTGGTATGTTACTTCCTAATACAACGACAAGCAATCTGGGATAATCTCAACTCGGTTGGGATCTAAGGGGTCAAGATGTCCGCAACTTTACCCCTGTACACAACAAAGTTTGTTTCCATTAGACCCTTTATGCATTGCTGCATTCACCGCCCATAACTTCATAGGAAGTAAGAAACATACGAAGTTGAATGTGCCATTTTTATAAAGGTCCCTTATTTACGAGGAGCTAAAACACTGTCAGAAATGACTTTTAGATCCATTGACGAAGAACAATATGTTGCTTCCTAATGTGCCATTTTGAGTTGTCAAGATGTATGCAACCTTAACCCCGTAAGCAACAGAGAGAGTGTTTACCCTTGATGCATTGCTTCATTTGCTACCCAAAACATTATAGAAAGTATGAAGCAAGGAAAGTTTCATGTGTCATTTTTGTTGGGTCCATTATTCTCTAGAAACAAAAACATTTTTAGAAAGGACTCTTTTAGATCCATTGGCAATGAATAATATGTTCCTTTCTAATACATCAGCCATTTTCTTCTATTGCAATAAGAATCCATTAAAGCCTAGTTGTTAATGAACTACCAGTAGTGCTTGCTCGTGGGACGCTTTTCGTCATATCCAGTGTTTTAACCGTAATGATCCTTTTTACTAATGTGTTTCCAAACATTGTTTGAAATAGCGAGGCGTAAACGCGCCTCATTGCGTGCCTTATAGCTAATTAGCAGAGAAGTACGCTCTAAGGTTACCTTGCCATGTGCAATGTGCTTTACTCAAGGATTGCAGAACATTGTGTACGCCTCATGGCGTGGGGGCTGCGCACACCATTTTATCGAAGTCAATTTAGGAAATTCATTTGACTTCTATCGCTGTGTGCTTTCTTTCTCGGTCTCTCTTTTTTTTCTCCCTTTTTTGCTTATTAATCACAGCCTTCCCTTCCTATTGGCATTGTTTGTGCACTGTGCGTATGGACTTCTTTCTTTCATGCTTTTTTTTTGTTTTTTGCTTATTAATCACTCTTTGTTTCCAATTGGTACTATATGTGCGCATGGACTGTTTTTTATTCAACAACTTCCTTATGGGTTTTTGTTAATTTATTTTCTTAAAAGTTGGATATTTTATATACATAAATTTTAGTTTTTTTAATAGATTTCTTGTCATTAAGTTTATGACCTTCCACCAATATGTTATATTATTCTATCCTAAACTTTGTTGCATCTAAGACCTTTTACTTTCACAATATACTTTTTGAATGTTTATGGATTAATTGTGTTATTACAAATGTTTTATCTTTAATTTAATATTATTTTATGCACATCTTGGTACTTCAAATTGAGGCTTACGCAATACGCCATGAAAAAAAGCCTCAAAACCACAATACGCCATTTCAAACATTTTTTCCAAACTACATTACATTTGTACAAAAAACAACCTTCTATGAATCTACAGCACCTCCGTAAAATGGTTATTGTATATGTACCTACTCTGTTTCATATGGTAGCCATTAGCATCTTAAAAAGTCACCAGTATTCACATTTTTAGACACATCTTAAGAATGTTAATTCAACTGATGTTTTACTATTTGTCTTTCTCATGATCTTTCTCATTCTCAGGTTTTATTGACTTTTAGTTGATGAATATCACATAATCAATCACACAGGTGTATTATATCCTTCCTCAAGGAGCACGGAAAGGAGGTGTATCTTGAGGTTCGAGCAGCTTATATTGACACAATGAACAAGGTTATTTTTTTGAGATGTATATTAAAGTTTCATTTGACCATTTTCAACTTTGACATGAATTGTGCAACATATTATTGTTGATTATTATCACTCTTATTATTTTAGGATTACTGCCATGCTTGTATGGTGAAATAATGGACATAAACCCAATACGAATGGGAAACCTATAACCCAGTTCTAGTGGGAAACTAGGAATAAAAAACCATAAAACTTCCAAAGCTATGTGGGCATTGACAATAGAGCTAAAAGAGTTATTTTTGATTATGATTTAGCTTCGGTAAATACTGGACTAAATCACAGTAGCACATTAAACTTACCTTCCTTTTTTTTACTTTCTATAAAGTTTTGGGCAGTAAACAGATCAATGTATCAACTATCAAGGGTCTAACACAAATAGCCTCCATAAAAGTCGGAGAAATAATGCACGTGATATCAAATACAAGTAGTTCTTAAGTGCACACTTTCGTGCTTTTATTGAAGCACCCATTTTTAAGTGTGAGAGACAATCAGTAATGAGAAAAGTGGGTGCACAATTCCATGCGTATATTCAAGCACCCTTTTTCTCTTGGTAATAAACAAAGAGTTTGAATGTGAGAAATTAAATTGTAATAATCAGAAAAGTATGAGACACCCATTTTATCTTTTTAAAGCTATTCTCGTACAGACGTACAATATATTTTCAAAGCTAAGGCGTCCCCCCCTCCACACCCCCAAAATAATGATAATAGTCATAATAATAAAATAAAAATAAATAAATTGAATATCACTTTAACTCTAAAAGCAACACACTTATTCACTAAACCAATTGCACCTATCAAAGACTAACTCTTTACACTATTTTCATAAAAAAGAGTAGCAGTTCTAGATGGATGGCTTGATGGATAATGAAATGGGTGGTGGTGAGTCTGGTCACTTACTGAATTTATGTGGAAAGAATGAGGAAGAGTTTACGCAATCAGAGGTCCTGAGCAAAACTAGAAAGTTTTGACAAAATTTTTGCCGGTATTGATCTCACGCCGTGCATGGCTGGAAGTTGTTGGAAGATAGGTGGCAGATGGAGGTGGGGTTTTTGTGCCAGCAATGTTTCAAGAATAGGGTTTGGAGTTTTACATAGACTTTTGTTGATTTTTAAGGGTTTGGCTCTTATACTGTGTGTAGAATAATAATATAGTACTTGTCTTATTGTCATAAAAACAAAACTTGCAACATTTTCCTCCTTTTATCCTAAAATTTCCTTTCCCTTTACATTTCATGGTCTTCAATACAACACCTTGACATTAATATCTATATTTGATATATTTTATAAAACAACAACCCAGTGGAATCTCACGAGAGTAGGGTTTGGGGAGGGTGTGTGGGTAAAGCACGTAAAGCACAGAAAGCAAAGAACAGAACAAAATTAGCACCTAGCAAGGAAAGGAAAAGGAAAGATAACACACAATGAAAGAAAAACACAGATGATAGAAAGCACATAAAGCAAAGAAGCACGCAATAACAAGTGCAGAAAACTACAGGTCCCAAAGCTTACCCAACTATCCTAGTCCTAGCTCTCCAAATGATTCTTTCTAAGGGCATATTTTTTAAAACAGTATGGGCAAAATCAAAATGGCACATTAAACTTTCCTTTCTTATTACATTCTATGATGTTTTGGGCAGTAAATGTAGCAATGCATCTACTGTCTAATAGAAACAACCTCTCTGCTTTTACTGGGGTAAGACTTCATACACCTTGACAACCTAGATCCCAACTTATACTTTCCGTCCATTGCCAATGTAGCTAAAAGAGTCATTATTGACAGTGTTTTAGTTTCGGGCTTATAACTAGCTGAATTAAATTGGAAAATTGAACTTCTCTTGCTTCATATTTTCTATTGAAGTTTCGTGCAGTAAATGCAGCAATGCATATAGGGTCTAACCAAAGCAGTCTTTTTGTTTTTAGAGAGGTAAGACTACGTACATTTTGACCCCCAAGACCCCAATAGAAAGTTTTAGTTTTAAGAACTTCTCTTGCTTCTTACTTTTTGACATACTTTTAGGCAGTAAATGAAACAATGCATCTAGGGTGTAACCAAAGCAGTCTTTCTGTTTTTACAGAGGTAATCTTGCATACATCTTGACCCCCAGTTGGGTTTATACTGGATGATGTCATAGTATATTTTTTAATAAGTCAATAGTGTGTGCGTGTGTGTGTATATGCATAATGATATTAGATTTATATCATAATTCAACATACATTTTATGCATATCATGGTCCAAGTTTAGAGATTTTGACCATGAAATGTCAACTGGAAAGACAATTTTAGAATGGAGGGACAAATTTCTTATGACTATTACATAGCCTAAGGCCTAAGCCCAACATGAATACACACCCAACCATTTAAACCTAATGAGAATTTGAATCTTCATTTCTTAAAATGGGATCACTACACTTTAGCAATTAGTGCTCCACATGTTTCTATGTATGAACACATGAAATATGTATTTACATTTTTTTGACATCAATTGTTGTTTAAAGGCTTAAGAAAGGTGCACCTTCACATAATTGCTACATGAATTTGATATTTTGTCATTATATTTGTGTTTATTGTTGATGAAGTATTGTCGGCATTATTGGCATTTGAGACAATCACGTACCTATGACATGCCACTTACACCGATGCACCTTTTTTAACATTCAGGTTTTAAGTGCGCAGTTCCGTGCTTATATTCAAGCACTAGAGAAACTTCAACTGGATATAGCAACATCTAGTGATCTAATAGGTGTTGAGACAAGAAGCAGTGGTCTTTTCTCCAGAGGGAGAGAGCCATTAAAGAATCGGTCTGCAGTATTTGCTTTGGGGGAAAGAATCAACGTTCTCAAGGTCTTGCTTTCCTATTCCTGACAACATAGGAAATGTTTGGTTTCCAACTGTTAGATAGCTGCTAATTTCTTTTGTTTTCATGTCTTGCACTAATGATGATGCTTTTATAGCTTTGCTTATGCGCCTTCCCTTATTGCAAATTTGGTATAGATCAGACTTCAATTGCGTTTTGCATATTTTGGAAATTTTATAGAAGTTTTGATTGATATTTATTTACCTCATATTTTCTATATGGTTACTTTTCCATCATCTCCGATGGAGCCAAAATGCCACCATTTTTTGGCTTTGGGATGTGATGGAATAAGTCAAAATGGATCTCTAAACTGTCTGCGCTTCTTTAATTAATGAAGTCGCAGTTAGTCAAGCAATGCAACTTTCGACGTTGAGCCGGGGGTCTCTTTGGAAACAGCCTCTCTACTTTCGAGTAGGGGTAAGGTCTGCGTACACACACCCTCCCCACACCCTACTCTAGTGGGATTTAACTGGGTTGTTGTTGTTGTTTGTTTTCTTCATCAGTTGGATATCTGAGAATGATTGCATGATCATAACTTTGTATGCAAGTAAGATATAGTTGAATGATATGTCAACTATAGAATAGTGAAAATTGAGGCACTCTAAAGTGATAATGGTTGTCCAGAGTCATTACTTTAGCAAGTTGTCACTTTTTATCCCTTGTGAATCGGTTCTTTATCAAGACGTATTGCAGCTTATAGCATTATGACTATGCTCTTGGTAATGCTAGTGATGAAAGGGTAACTTCTTTATGCATGTAGCATTTGAATAAGAAAATAATTTCATGAGTTACCTCCCTAGGATGGTCATGTTTCCTGTCCTCATCATCCTCCAAACATGTGACTTCTTTATTATTTCTTGGTTGGTTTTTATTCTAAAGGAATTGTAGATGATATACCTTTTAACAGTGCTATAGTTACAATAGTTGCTGTGAGTTGAAAACCATCTACTCCCTCCGTCCCTCATTATTCGTCCAGTATTCCTTTTTGGGTTGTCCACTTTCCAATTAAGGTAAGAAAAATAATATGGAAAGTCAATTATGCCCTCATTTACTCCCTTTCTCATCCACACTTTCCCCTTATCCGTAACAACATAATCCCTTCTGGCCTCTTCTCTCACTTCTCTCCCCATTCAGCTCTCTCTCTCTCTCTCATCGTTTTTGAAGTGGGGTGTCTTCTCCAACATATGGAGTATCAATGTTTCCGTAGCGGGATGTCTTCGAAGGAGGACTAATTGAGTAGGATGGTGGCCGGATGTCTTTGACGGTGAGTTGGAGCTGGATGTCTTCTGCCGTTGGATCTTTTCTCAAGATCTATATCTGGATCGTGATGTCCAATTTTTTGTTTCTTGATTTTGCTTTTGTAATGAAATTTGGGGTTTTACTCCATTTTGAAATCTATACGAAATGTTTGTTTTTTGAAATCTAGATCTAATTTCTAGATCGGAAATCAGAGCATTTGTTTTCTCCTTCGTCTGGTTTCTCTTGTCTAAGCCTAATCCATGTTTTTTGCTAGTGTTCCTTTACTGATTTTGAGATTGGCGACATCATCGTATCAATAGTGGAGGACGTCCGGATGACGACGGATGGGGAGGCTGGGTAGATGAAATAGGTTGGGGCGATTGAATGACGCTGGGGTGGCAAAGGAAATCAGTAGATAGTTCAAGGGTAATTGTGTCATTTTACTCATCACATTGGTTTGTGAGCCAAAATGAAAGTAGAAAAAAAAGGGGGGAGGAAGGGAGTAAAATTTAATGTAAGTGAGTTTTGAGTTCTAATCAGATTATGAACTACTAGCGAAGCTTAGGATGCTCTTGTTTTGTTGGATGAGGACAATGTAAGGATTCACAAAAGTAATTTATGATCGGTGGAGATTCAACTTTATGGTTAGAATTCAAATTGATCTTTCTGTGATTGTGGCTAGTGAGAGAGCCTCGTTTCAGTTTGGTAGGGGGATCCGTGAAATTTATGCTTAAAACTTGAGGTGTTTCCATTGCTTTTAAAAGGTACTTAGGCTTATGCCTTGAGGCTCCTAATGAGGTAAAGTTTTAGAAAGTTGCCTTGGGCTTTGCTTCTTTTGGTCACAAAGAAACAAAGAAGCTGCACCTCACTCTGGTGATTATACACCTCTTAAAGGGTATGCGGCTAACTTTTCTACTATCATACAAATATGAACATTTTTACATGCAAAATTATCTATTTTTAATACATTGTTTAGCTCAATAAAAATTACTGTTCTTTTTTTTATAAGATTTGGGATGCTTTTACTTGACTTAAAAAAACATGTAACTTTAGATGTTTGTTTTTTACCAGACTGCATTCTTTATATTCTACTTGACTGATTTCTTCTCTACTTAATTAAATCTCTCCGAAGTAGCAGCCAACTTTCTTCTCTACTGAACTCCTTACTCATCTTTCCTTTTGTATAGAAGAGTTCACTTAAATATTTGTCTCTGTGGAGGATAAGCTACCATAACTTAAACTGAGATAGTTCAGAGACGTACTGAAGAGGACTACGGAGGTAGGGGCGCAAGGAGGGGTAGGGGTAAACTGAAGAAGAGTTGGATGGAGTTGATTAGACACGACATACGACTATAGGATCTTCTCCAGATATGGCCTTACATTGCAGCGTATGGTGGTCTAGGGTTAGGGTGGCAGGGTACCTTTGGGCCTTAGTTGTAGTTTCTGCATGTATGCTTTTGGTGCCTGAGTCTGAGTTTCTGCATGTGTGCTTGTTTTGTTTCTGTTTTTTATTCTGTTCGCGCTTCTTTACTTTGTTCATGCTCCTATACTTTTAGCCGAGGGTCTCTTGGAAAGAACTTTTCTACTTTCCAGATATACACTCTCCTCAGACCCTACTATGTGAAATTTTTCCAAGCTTGTTGTTATTTCTAAACTATATATTTAATCATCCTATTTTTATTGTTTCTATGAGTTACAAAGTCATTTAGTTAAAGAATTTATTCTCTCGTGATTCTCAAATGCCTAAACTAATAGTATGGAGACGATGAGATGGTCCAGTGGTTGGACCACTACTATTTCTCCCTTCTCACCTCGGGTCAATCCCTCCTCCAAACTCCTCGGTCTAATCCAATAAAAAAAGTAATGATATGAAAATGAGTATTGCTCCCTGCATCCCAAAAAATGATTTTTGCTTCGTTTGTTTTCTTATTCCTAAAAGGCGTTATCCGTTCAAACAAAACAAACTTTTCATTTAAATCTAGGGGTCTTTCGGAAACGACCTATATACCTTTTCTAGGTAGGGGTAAGGTTTGCGTACACCCCCTTCCTAGAACCCATTTATGGGGACTTCACTGGGTTGTTGTTGGCCAAAAAGAGTGACAGATTAGTGAAATACTGTAGGTTGTATGTATCTTGTGAAAATTTTAAAGTTGTACACTAAACAGGCATGACTCATTTGGAGGAAGGGGTTATATATTTAACCTTCAATTTGTATCAAGGCTAAAGCAAAATGCCTCAAAGCTAATTTTAGCTTTTTTAATGCCATTTCAGACTATGGGTTCAATTGAGCAACTGATTAAGGCACATCATAACCAACTCCATTTAAGATGAACAACTTTTCTTTTCAATTAACTATTGACAGTTAGATGTGTCTCTCTACATTTCATGCTTTCTTGTATTTAGCTCTAACTTGACTTATTACCCTTTGATCTTCCAACAAAGTAGAATTGTTTTTCTTTATAATCATGGCTTGGAAGAAACTTTAGCTGATGCTTGTGGTATTTCATCATATCCAGGAAATTGAGGAGCCTCCTTTGATTCCACACATAGCTGAAGCCGGTTCAAAAAAGTATCCCTATGAAGTTCTCTTTAGGAGCTTGCAGAAGCTGCTTCTGGATACAGCTTCTTCTGAGTACTCTACGTTTATATTTGTTCTTATATGTTGAGTTTAAGTAGGCGTCCAAGTATAGAGTGATTATATTCTTTATACTCTTAAACGTATCTTTTGCTTCCTCATCATAGGTACCTTTTTTGTGATGATTTCTTTGGGGAGCAGTCTGTGTTTTATGACATATTTTCAGGTATTAATAAGCATTGAAGTTAGGAAATCCCCAAAAGGCCATGCTTGTTGATTAATGTAGAATAATATGACTCTAGAACTGTATAAAGATTC